AATCCAAGGTTTCTCCCACTGGCCAAGCCCTCTTCGTTTTCTCCCTTATTCCCCCCCCCCAAAAAAAACCTACCCTTGTTACTTTTTTAAACAAAGGAACTGGGGAGAATTCCGCCTCCAGCAAATTCTCCTGTACTACTGTGACCTCCTCTCTGTCTGTCTCCTGAGCCACTCGCAACCTTTTACAAAGGATTCTAGGGAAAAACAAAATAAAAGTAAATGATAAAACAACAAATAAAAAAGACCCAAAAATGTAGTGTAAAAATCATTATATATATATTTAAATATGAGCTTTTGTGGTCAAAGTCCACTTCATCAGATATAAGAGAAAGAGGCAAATAGTATGTATACCTGGCGTCAAAATATAGAGATCATGGTTGGTTGGTTGAGAAAGTCAGTGAGTGTTTAACATTGGGGTGATAGCGTCTTTGATATGCAGCTATTTCGCTAAAGCTTGTGCTGTAAAAAAGATGTGAAAACCTATGCCATAAAATAACAGTGGTAGAGTAACATGAATTTGTTATCTATATTTTGATGCCAGGTATAAATAGTTGCCATGTTATGTGTCTTTCTCTTAAGTCTGAAGGACACATCCACAAAAGCTCACGTTAACAAATATAACTGTCTTTAAGGTACCATCAAGTTTTTGTCTTTTTTATTGGTTGTTTTGCAAATTATTATTTTTTTATTTTTACATTTTTCCCCATCACGCGCGAACAGGTTAACACAGCTCCCTGTTGTACTACTACAACATCTAAAAGGCGTGATTGACGGGATGGAGAAGGCAACTTCAGAAGTTTTTTTTTCTGAAAAGGGGGCAGAGGCAACATGACTTCGATGACTGAAATTTATATTCTTTGTTGCATTTTAGTTTGAGTTTCAGTTTTAAAAAAAGGTCTAACGGATGAGAAGTTACTAGTCTGTTGTCTATGAAGGATGGTACTAGATCATCTTAGGCTCTAACTTTAATGGTCTTTTGGGACTGATAGTGGGTTTAAGGAGGGACGTGGTGGCGCTGTGGGCTAAACCACAGAAGCCTGTGCTGCAGGGTCAGAAGACCAAGCAGTCGTAAGATCGAATCCATGCAACGGAGTGAGCGCCTGTCGCTTGTCCCAGCTCCCGCCAACCTAGTGGTTCGAAAGCATGCAAATGCAAGTAGATAAATAGGGACCACCTCGGTGGGAAGGTAACAGCGTTCCGTGTCTAAGTCGCGCTGGCCGTGTGACCACGGAAGATTGTCTTCGGACAAAATGCTGGCCCTATGGCTTGGAAACGGGGATGAGCACCGCCCCCTAGAGTCGAACCCGACTGGACAAAAATTGTCAAGGGGAACCTTTACCTTTACCTAGTGGGTTTAAGGGGCAGTTAATATTACTTCATTTGCAGAGCACACACCATGTATTTATTGTCTCCGTACATCATCCCTGCCAGCATCATTCTGAGTTTTATACCGTCGCCGTTAGTTCCAAGTTGAAAGGGCAAAATAACAACCTTTTAATTTTCCAGCATGTGCTGGAAAATCTGCCATCATGTCCAGTTTTCCATTTTAAGCTCTCTTAAATAGCAGCATATTCTGCTTTAGAGAATCTTAGAATTGTGTTTCTGGGTATACTTCTTTTCCTGCATGAATATTTCAGAAAAAGCGTACTTGACGGGCAGGCTGACTTTTTCTTAAACACTTGTGATGGGATAGTGTTCTCTTCTGCACCCGAGGGCAGCAGTTTAATTTTTCAGGAGGTTCAAAGTATCCATAGCGCTGACCTCCAACTCTTCACTGCCACCTCCCAGTTTGTGCTGATCAAGACACTGATGGTAGGGTTGGAACCTACGCTGCAATGATGATCTTGGGGAAAATGGCAAATCTTTCTATATTCATATCAAAGGGTTGCACAATATAAAATTACAGACGTATATGAAATAAAGGTGAAATTAAAGACTGATTAAAACATTAATTAGTCTATTTCTGACTAGAACAAAATAAAAGAGATAGAAATGCATCAAATATCCTGACCCATTTTGCTGTCATTCTTTCCGAATGTTTTTTTTTTCAGGATCCAGATGTCCGCTTGTCCAAAGCCCTCTCTTATGCCCTGCGCCATGGTGCAGACAAGTTGGGTTTAGGCATGGGACCTGGTGAGTAGTGTAGCCATTATCTATCCCCCCCCCCCCCCGTAACTGGAAAATCGAAACTTCTGCATGTCTTCTGCCTGTTGCATTTTGGGGCACTTGAAATCAAAGAAAAAGAGATAGCAATCATGTGTTATCCAGCACTGCAGCATCCATGGGTCCACCTGAAAGTATCCTAAGGAACTGTGGTTTAGTGATGAACGTAGTCTTTTCCTCTGCACTTCAAGTTACAGTGGTGCCTCGCTTAGCGATCGCTCCGTTGAGCGATGAAATCGCTTAGCGATGGGGTTTTGGCTATCGCTAGAGCGATCGCTTAGCGATGGCCCCTATGGGGAAAAATCGCTTTGTGACAATCGCGGGGAAGCAATCACCGCAAAGCCCCCATTTTCAAACAGCTGATCGGCGGTTCCAAAATGGTCGCCGGAAAAACAAAATGGCGACTGCTGTTTTGCCTCGCTTTAGAGGCACCCAAAATGGCCACCGCTATGGAGGATTTTCACTTGAGGTCAGTTTTTCAGCCCATAGGAACGCATTAAACGCATCAGGAACGCATTAAACGCGTTTTATTGCGTTTGTATGGGCTTTTTATTTTTGCTTAGCAGTGAAATCCCTTAGCGACGTTTTTTCCGGAATGGATTAACGTCGCTAAGCGAGGCACCACTGTATATCAGAGCTCCATAGTGGAGAATTCTGTATATTTTCCAAATGGCAAATAGCAGGATTCCACCGGATAGAAACGTAGCATTTAAAGTGGAATCGAACACCTTCCATGATGAACTGGTGGAAAGGGAGTGGGTTATAAATCAGATTTAGGCTATGGTGCTGTCCAAAGGAGATGCTACCTTACTTTGGAGAGATATTCAGTAGCCGAGTGGGAGTCCCCTCGGGCAGACCCAGGCCTTGATATATCCTAATCAGAGAGGGAGAGCTTTGCAAGAGATCACCTGCAGAGCAAATAGTTTAAAACCAGTCATGTTTACAGAGCAAACCACAAAATAAGATGTCAGCAAGAGGATCTCTGCAGACTAATGGGTTTACTTTTGGTTTCTCAAATGGATCCCAGACATGGCCTTCTAGCACATTAAAACTGCTCTTGCTCTAGTAGAGTGCCGTCCAGTCAATTCTAACTTAGGGCGCCCCTTTTCATGGTGTTCCGAGTAGAGAGTATCCAGAAGTGGTTTTACCCTTCCCTTCCTCTAGGGGCGCTGTGGGACTGTGCAGCTTGCCCAAGGCCACCCAGGCTGGCTCTACTCATAGGAAGCACAGTGGGGGTTCGAACTCCACACCTCTGGCTCTACTGCCAGATACCTAAGCAACTCAGCTCTTCAGGCAATTAGAGTACATTGTCAAAGTTGCATCGTTAGCATTGCCTAAAGTATCACACAGCTTAACTGTCATTTTGTTTGGTTAATGGAGCTGTCAAGGGGTGGGTGGGAGGGAGGGAGTCTCTCACTGTCTTGCTTTTCCTGCATCTCAGATGGCTTTGTGGACGTGGCCGAGGTCCTCCGCTTGCCCCAGTTTAGGCCGTGGTCCCTGGAAGACGTCCAGCGGGTTGTAGAAACAAATGACAAGCAACGGTTCTCCCTGCGCCCGCACTCTTCCAGCGGGCACCTCCAAATCCGGGCCAATCAGGGGCACTCGCTGGAGGTGAGGGAGAAGGGAGTGAAGACAGGGGAGGAGACGTAGCACTCGGGATGGTGAACAGGGGGCAGGTTTGCATCAAGAGGACTAGCAGCTTAAAATTTTGAGGCAGAGGATTGTCTGTTCTCCCCAGTTAAATACTCCATGTGAGATTAGATACCAATGGAAGTACGGTACCTTCTCCATCACTGAGGATATTGCCTATTTTCCGTATGTTCCTCTTATCATTGTGCTCATCCGCACCAGGAGGGACGGCAAATCCTGCTGTGGATTGAAGTTCAGTTCACCTGAGCATCCGTTTGAGACGGGGAAATGTCTTTGGGAGTCTGTTTTTTGTTTTTTTTTAAAGGTGTGTCTGTACTGCAAAGTTGTCGCGACTCTACCTTATGGGACTGGTAATCTAGCAAGGTGCCTCACAGTGACTGCTAGGCAATGGCTGTGCCTTTCCAGGAATCATAGCAATAGCGCTAGAACTCCAAGGGGGGATCAACCTGTTATAAATGTTGTGTGAATAGGCTGGCCTAAAAGGAGAACTGGGATAAATAGGCATCCCACTTGAATGGGGGCAAGATCTCTCCTATGACTCCACTTTGTGCCCCTGCCAGGTCTCTGAACTGGAGCTGATCCCACTGCTGCGCCTGTCAGATTTCCCAGAGGTGGTGGCCCATGGCACTTACCTGCGCCACTGGCCAGCAATTCGCCGGAGTGGCCTCTCCCGGATGGGGAGAGCTCACATCCACTTAGCTCCGGGTTTGCCCGGGGATACAACGGTCTTGAGCGGTGAGTAGGCCTTTTCCTCTGCCATGTGTTCCCTCTTCTATCTGCTTATATCCAACATTTATCCAGCATCCTGGCCTGTATTCTCTGGGCAGAGTGTTGAATTTTAGCTAAAGAAGTGCAGGGATTTACAGAGCAGAATTACAGTAGCTTCAAGTTCCTGCAACCCCCCGCCCCCAGTAGACCATCCCTTTTTGCTTCCCATCCACGTAGAGAAAACTCAGAAGGGACTTACCCTTCCCTTCTTCCGGGGGGCATCCTGGGATGGTGCAGCTTGCCCAAGGCCACCCAGGCTGGCCCTTCTACCAGGAGGCCGAGCGGGGGGATCAAACTCCCAAACTCTCGCTCTGCAGGCAGAGAGCTGTAATCGGGAATGTTTGCACTAAGGAGAAAGGCCGAGGGCCACCTTTTTCTGGTTATTTGCTTTGCAGGAATGCGGAAGAACTGCGAGGTGGCTGTAGTCATCAACATCGCCAAAGCTCTGGCAGGTGAGCTGCATCATTCGTGAACACCGGCCGCAGCCCAGCGCTTTTCGCCCCACCTGAGGTTGGAAGTTGGGACTCGAGGGGTCAAACCGTGGAGTCCGCCACGGAAAGGCAGCCGTGCCTGCTGGGGTTGCCGATGTGGGCTTGGCTGCCTCTCTCTCTTGCCCGGTCTCTTCACCAGGGGCCTTTCCTGGCCACACTGTCAGGGAATCAAGAAAGGGAGAAAGCCAGATCGCCAAGCTGGGCCAGAGCAGGCCTGGCTGATGGCTTAATCCTTTATATTCCACTTTTCAGTTGAATAAGTATAAGAAGTCAAGCTAAGAGAGGGAAGGACTGATCCACAGTGAGGAGGGGGGGATCAGGCCCTTCTGCCGTGTCCCATTTTACAGTTCAGTCCTCTCATGCCTTGTATTTCACTCACCGTTCCCTCTGTGCTCACACAGATGGAATCACGTTTTTCCGCTCGGCGAACGGCGTCATCCTCACGCCAGGCAACGAAAACGGTCTCCTCCTCCCTTGTTACTTCCAAGAAGCCCTACAGCTTCGACCTACGCGTACGTTTTCTGCTTGTGGCTCCCCCTTGCTGACATGCTGCGCCCCCTCCCAATCAGCTAGAAGACCCTGATCTCTCTTCTGCCCACCTCTTGCGCTGCACCACATGGAGCTCTGTACATGCTCAGGAGGGCACTGAGATCTGTAAACCCCTCTGAAGATCATTCTCCCTGTTTGCCTTTTCCCCTGCCCATTCAGGCTGTCGGCTGCCTCCCGAGTGATCTGGTCTCCAGCCACGGAATCTCATTGTGCCTACCTCACCTCCGTGCCTCCTGAGAGAAGAATTTATGGCTTGCATGGACTATTTGTTGCCAAACAAGAAACCTTGCTTTTGAAATAAAACCCCCCTTGTCTTCTGCCTAAGTGGAGTAATGGAACAAGGAGGGCGAAAGCCTCAGGAGCTTTCAAGAGCAGTGAATTCTTGCAAAGTGTCTCTATTGTAATGCAAACTATTTCAGGGCAGCTCCGTCTTCAATTTATTTATTTAACTTATATGCCGCCCACTCTACCCAAACATTTCTGGCTGGCTTACAACAATTAAAATACAAAAATTCTTGCAAAGTGTCTCTATTGGAAGGCAAACTATTTCAGGTCAGCTTGGTCTTCAATTTATTTATTTTTATTTATTTATTTTGGTTATTAAGAGCCATTAATCTTACAAAAGACCTGCTTCTCATGTGTTGATCTGGTCCGATCCAGCTGCCTAGACTTTAGGACTCTCCTTATGGGGCAAGGGGGCTACAAGGGGCTACCACGACGAGCACCGACACTATATATCTCCAGCTCCTTGTCGGAATAAATTAACAAGTTTTCCGATCTTTGTTAATGTCTGTCATCTGCTGGTTGAGGTGGCATTTATATGAGTGCCACCCTATGAAAACCAATCCTTTCCAACTTTTTTGCATCTTTCCAAAACACACTTGTCTTTCCTTCTCTTCCTTGCTTTGCATTGGATTGTGAGATCTTGTGTTTTCTTCCCTCACTGTGCACTTTTAAAAGGCATATTTAGACGTTGTCTAGAGGGGCAGGGTAAAAATCGAATAAATAAAATAAAATAAAATAATTTTATTTCCAAATGTTCCCATGTATTTGCAGTTATATTTTATCTGTGCAGCTTTTATCCACAGGCTGGCTGGATAGCTGAGTGGTTTAGGAGCCAGAGGTTGGGAGTTTGATTCCCCCCACTGTTCCCCCCAAGAGAAGAGCCAGCCTGGGTGGCCTTGGTCCAGCTAAGCTGTACAGCCCCATAAATACCCCCAAGAAGAAGGAAATGGGAAGCTGCTTCTGAGTATTCTCTCCATGAAGAAAAACCCTGGAAAGGATTGCCATAAAGTGAGATGGCACAGGATTATCATCATCATTTCCCCCTTGCCTAACCATGTTTGAGAACATGTGGCTCTTCAGATGTTACTTTCATAATCCTTTATGTTGTGTGCCATCATGTCGAAACCAATTTAAAGCAACCCTAACAGGGTTTTCAAGCTAAATGGGATATTAAGGAGTGGTTTTACCAGTTCCGCCTTCATCCTTGTGAGTTTCCATGGCAGAGCGAGAATTCGAACCCAAGCCTCCTGAGTCACAGTCTATCCTTAGCCTCTTCCCTAAGTGCTGACTCATCCAGGTGTTTTGTGTGTGGTGCTTTTCGATTTTCATACAACCCTGCACCTCTGAAAGAGGGAGTGTTGTGTCCATCAGCTGTCTTGCGTACATCTGTTTTAAAAAAAACAACTCTTGGAGTTAAGGAACCACAATGGCACAACCTGGTATTTTTGTCCAAATCATGATGAGCAAACACAGGGGAGGTCAATTTAAGAAAAGGAGTTCCTTTACAATGCATTTTTTTATTATTCTTTTTATTGTAACAAAAATTAAGAAGCAGACACAACCTTCATTAAAATGCAACGGCAAGTAAGTAAAGCCAACTTGCCCTAATAGCCAACTCAGGAACGGGGAATGTGTTGCAAATTAAATGTTATTCCAAGATGGTGGAAAAGGCGCAAATACAGTAGAATCACCATATCCGCAAGGGATCGGTCCCAAGGCTTCCCTTGGCCTTCCGCTGGCCTGGCTAGGAAAGGTTTCCTTCTTCACCTTCCCTTCTCGATTCCTTTGCAAACTTTTAAACAGCACTTTGCGAACAGCAGCAACTTGGGAAATAACTAGTTACAAGTAACATTTAGCCATAACTAGTTACATTTGGGTGACAAGCTATTAAAATTACAGTGAATGTACTATAACTAGAAACTAGGAAAAAAATACTTTTAGGTACAATAACTAATGGTTTCTATTTATGTTTCAAAGTTATATTTAAAGGCATTTTTAGGTGTAATGCCATTTTCTTTATAACTCCAAGGTGGTGAGGGAAGTATTCATGTTGTACATTTTTCAAATGTCTGCAAGGCGTAACATTAGAATTGGCCATGAGAGGGGACCAAGAAGTATTTTCTTGTATTGTTCTGGCCTCTTGTGGATCACCACCACAACTTGTAAGAAAAAAAGAATTATTTGCACAAACTGAAGTCGCAATCGCTACATTCCGGACGTCCAGAAGTGATGAATCACACAAAAAGTTTCTTTTAAAAGTAACATTCTAAAGCTTTGCTCCAGATTCCAACTCAGATCTGGGTGCAATGATGATGGCCAGACAGGTCCCTTAAGGAGGCCAGAAAAGGCCTGTGTGCGGATTTCAAGGGGAAAGGGTCACCTTTTGAAGGTGGAAGATCAGAGGGCTTCGTGGCCCCCCGTCAGCTTATGAAAAAGCTCTTCGTCCAGCTTTTGACTTTTGTCGGCCGAGCGGGTAGAGAGGAAAATGTAGCCACCGATGTATTCGTGCACGATCTTGCAACCGGCAGAGACGCAGCTGAAGGCAACATTAATGTGCTCATCGAACTCTATGGCCACCTGTGGGAAGAGACGCAGAAGCAGGCTTTTGAGCGTGTCCCCTCCTAGGGGGGTCCCCCTGGGGTGCACGTTTGTGGCTTACAGGCGAGCATGCAGAGAAACCTCAGGGTAGTTCTCGTTACGGATGGGAGCAAGGAAAATTGTGGTTTTCTTGCCATCTAGAGGTTAATCACTGTGTCCCCTCCTAGGGCGGTCCCCCTGGGGTGCACGTTTGTGGCTTGCAGGCGAGCAAGCAGAGAAACCTCAGAGTAGTTCTCGTTGGGCTACGGATGGGACCAAGGAAAGGTATGGTTTTCTTGCCATCTAGAGGTTAATCACAGCCCGCCAAAGGACTTGAGTGAGCCCCCCCCTCCCAGGAGAGCGGCTGAGACGTCCAATGGCCAGAATCCCCACCCTCCTGCTCCCCAGGCCAACCTGTCGTATATCCCAGTTGACGTTCCACTGGCGCATGTTGCTGAACCTCCAGGTCTTCACCACGTCCCCAACCGCCAGGTCGATGCGGATCAAGCGGTTATTGGCAATGCCCAAGATTTCATCCTTCCGGCTGCCTTTGAATCTGTGCAAAGATGGCAGGTTTTTGGTGTAAACGCCGGAGTCCCTTTTAATCGGGCGACAGAAACTGACTTAAGGAGCTAAAGGAACCGTATCATCTTCCCCAAATGATATGCCCATCTCAAAAAGAAAATAAGCCGCTCCTTTTAAGGAGAGAGGCAGAGCAGAATATTTTAAATCAATAAACGAACACTAGTCCTCTTAAGAGCTTAAGATGGCAGAGACCCAGCGTTGCTACTCAATCGGTTCAAGAAATAAACCAGTTCCTGCCCTCCCGTTTGTTTGCCTGTGGGTGCAAAAGGCTGATTGAAAAAAGTTTTCGGAGTTTTTCAAGGAGGGAGTACTCTAAATTGTTTTGCTCTTCCCTTCCTCTAGGGGGAGCCCTAGGACGGTGCAGCTTGCCCAAGGCCACCCAGGCTGGCTCTCCTTGTAGAAGGCACAAAGGGCAATCAAACCCCCAACCCTCTGGCTCCACAGCCAGAGACGTCAGCCACCGAGTTATCCAGCCAGCGACTATTATAGTTTCTCACCTGACCACGAAGTAAGAGATGCCAAAATCTGGGAGGGACTGCCAGGCCTGAATAAATTTCATTTTGGCTTCCACGAGAGACAGCTGGGCCATGTTCTGATAGGCTTCCAAAATGCGTGGAGTCAACTGGGGACAGAATGGAAAGAAAAGCACAGATTGAGCTCCTTCTGCAGTTACAGTGGTGCCCCGCATAGCGACGATAACCCGTTCAGGAAAAATCGTCGCTATACGGATTCGTCGCTAGGCGGAACAAAAAAGCCCATAGGAATGCATTAAAACACGTTTAATGCGTTCCTATGGGCAAAAACTCACCGTTATGCGAAAATCCTCCATACGGCCGCCATTTTCGCTGCCCGGTAGGCGAGGAAAGGGCGCGAAAACACTGTGGGCGGCCATTTTTTTAACCTGGCGGCCATTTTGGAACTGCCGATCAGCTGTTAGAAAAGACATCGCTATGCGAAAATCGGTAAGTGAAACAGCTTACCGATCGTCACAAAGCAATGTTTTACCATTTAAAACATTGCACTGCGATTGCTTTTGCGATAGCAGAAAAGCCATAGCTATGCGGATTCGTCGTTAAACGGGGTGCTCATTATGCAGGGCACTGTATTCAGAAAAAGGTGGAGGGATTAGATCCCGTTACATCCAGGGGTGAACCTCTGGTATTCCAGATGTTTTAGACCACAACTCCCACCGTTCCTGACCAAGCCATAGGCCAAAACATCTGGAAGGTGAAGGGGTTCCCACCATGACTGAGCTACCTCCAGAACTGCAGAGAGAGGTATTGTTAATTAGAAAATGCATTTAAAACACATTCCTTTACACTCAAAATGGTAAGAGTGCATGGCGTGAGTTGGTGGGTTTCAGCTTCCAATGCCTTGAAAGGCATAAAGAACCTATGATAGTATTCCAGATGTTGTATTACAGTTGCTATCATAGCTAGCCTTTGTCTGTATGAGTGGGAACTTAAAGGACATGATATTCAACAGCATTGAGTGGGTCACGTCCTCACCCCAGCCCTAAACAGGCATGGGAAGAGGGATGTCTATGCCCAGATGAACTGGCTCATCCCAAACTAAAGGAGGCCCACTGAAGCAATTACATATTAGTAATTAACTTTGCAGCATCAAGTTGATTCTGAGCTACAGCGAGTCCCTGCAGGGCCGTCCTAGGTATAAAATATCCAGAAGGTGTATAACCATTTTTTCCCTCTTGGGACCACATACAGTAGCTTGCCGAAGGCTACACGGTGGGGATTCAAACGCCCAAGCGCCTGCTCTGAAGCCAGCCGCTCCAACTGACTGAGCTATCCAGCCAGCATTGAATCGACTGCTGAAGGACAAATCAAGACTTCTGTTGTAGAAACTACATTGACACATTGGCTGAAATCCTGCTGCTTCGCACAGTAAGTCGGGAGTGAAGTAGGCACAATGAATCCATGGGATTTATGGAGCTGACTCCCCACTGATTCAATGGGACACACCCCCCCACGTGCACGAAACAGCAGGATTTCAGCCACTGTTTCACGAAGGTCATGTCCTCTGCCTAGTGGGAGCCGCGGACACAGAAAGCGCATGTCACATCCTGGACGTTCAAACCGATGGTTCCGAAACCACTTTTATCCGAGAATGGTCATAATACGCCACCCTGATCAGAGAAGAAATTTGTACATCCTGCGGCCATTTAATGGTTTTCCCACCAGGTATGGTCTTTTCAAGCCTTTTGTTTCTCTTCATTGAGTTTTCTTGGCAAAGATACTGGGGTGGCTTGCCAGTTCCTGCTCCCGGTGGATCGCGTTTCGTCAGAACTCTCCACGATGACCTGTCCGTCTTGGGTGTCCCAGCACGGCATAGCCCATAGCTTCTCTGGGTGACTCAAGCCCCTTCACCACAAGGCAGCAATAGCCTTTTGTTTCTCTTCATTGAGTTTTCTTGGCAAAGATACTGGGGTGGCTTGCCAGTTCCTGCTCCCGGTGGATCGCGTTTCGTCAGAACTCTCCACGATGACCTGTCCGTCTTGGGTGTCCCTGCACGGCATAGCCCATAGCTTCTCTGAGTGACTCAAGCCTCTTCACCACAACAAGGCAGCAATCCGTGAAGGGGTGATATGATGCTGGAAGATGGGCCCCTCAGGTTGGAAGGCGTCCAACATGCTACTGAGGAAAAGCGGAGGAGAAGTCCAAGTAGCTCCAGATCTAATGAAGTGGTTGGGGCAAATCTCAAAATCCTACAATCAATTCTGTTTCATTGACTACGCAAAAGCCTTTGACTGTGTGGACCAAAGCTAACTATAGCAATTTCTTAAAGAAATGGGAGTGCCTGACCACCTTATCCATCTCCTGAAAAATCTACATGTGAGACAGGAAGCAATAATTAAAACTGGATATGGAAACACTGATTGGTTCAAAATTGAGAAAGGAGTATGACAAGGCTGTATATTGTCCCCCGGCTTATTTAACTTATATGCAGAATACATCATGTGAAAGGCTGGACTGGATGAATCCCAAGCCGGAATTAAGATTGCCGGAAGAATTATCAACAACCTCAGATATGCAGATGATACCACTCTGATGGCAGAAAGTGAGGAGGAATTAAAGAACCTCTTAATGAGAGTGAAAGAGGAGAGTGCAAAAAAGGTCTGAATCTCAACATCAAAAAATCTAAGATCATGGCCACTGGTCCCATCACCTCATGGCAGAAGGGGAAGATATGGAGGCAGTGACAGATTTTACTTTCTTGGGCTCCATGATCACTGCAGATGGTGACAGCAGCC